AAATTGAGAAGAGTCAAAAGATACAAAGTAGAAGCATCTGTTGGTAATTAGACGAGGAGACTTCAGGTTCTGAAATTCCATCAGCAAGGTTATTATAGGGGATTACAGAGTTCAAAGTACTCTCATCTAATACAGACACAGGGTAGGAAAGTTGAGAAGTTTTAAAAAGGCATTGGTTGGGCATTCATGCAGGAAATAAAGTGAAGAAAATAATGAACACCCAAAGTACTCAAGGATTGTGAAACAAAATGTTAGCCAGTGATGGTAAGAAGGAAGAATATCATATTCAGAAAAGATTAAGAGTTTTGATGATAGTTTCAAAGTGGTAGCAGTAAGGTATACAGATCTCTAAATTCTAGATCTATACCACAGAGGGATAGACAATAAAAAGGATTTTTAAAAAGCTAGGTTTAAATTAAGGCAAGAAGGTAAAGGATGTAAAGAACATATGTTAGGCATTAGTTCATTAGAATTCATGTGGCAGAAGAAAGGCTTCAAAATAGTTTCTTAGCTCTTTTTACAAGAGTATTATATAAAAAATACTTTCCTTGGTTTATTTATAGTATGCTTAAATGAATTTAAACTCAAATAGTTATGTAAAATTTTTAAATGTTTTTAGAAGAATTAAAATTATAATAACAAGGAATGCTATAAATTATGGCATAATACTTTAAAAATTAGGTTTCAAAGAGTATTAATAAAAATTTTGATAATAAAATAAATGAAAAATAGCAAGACAGAGAACTATATACATATAATGATTCTATTTGAAAGGAACTATTATGTGGGTACACAGAGATGAACAAAGAGAAGGCATTTTTATTTTCCAATTTCTCCAATAATAAGTACACATCATTTTCATAACTAGAAAAAATATTTTTAACAAAGAAAACAAACTTTATAATTCTGTCTGTTGATTCTTCCTGTTTGTTATTTAAATCAGTGATGTTTTGATGTATTCTTTTTATGTCTATTTCTTAAGTACCAGTATGCATTGCTGAATTCGAACCATATACGTGGACTGTTTTACCTCAGTATCTGACTAACTTGTGTGCTTATGTGTTAGGGCTAAAGGAGCTTTCTTTTATAAATTAAAGACAAAAGACAGAAAGAAAAACAAGATCAAATAAAAAACAAAAGAGTATGTGATTAGTAATTAAATTTTTGGGCAAAAAAAAAATGCCAGAAGCTTCCAGAAAAGGGAAAATCAATGACAAGCTAGAGACATGCAGGAAAAGCTTTATGGCACTGATGATAGTAACAGGCAATACCCATATGGCTTAGTATTTGAGGAAGTTCCTATTTCCTAATTGGAAATAGAATATAAAAATAGGACATAAATATAAATTTCTATTTCCTTTTTATTCAGGAATAAGACACTGAACACAGTTTAAAAAGAAAAATAATCCAAAAGTTTAGTTGTTTAAAGAAGACAAAACAGATGATGTGGGAGAGATACTATAAATTTTACTGCTAGATCTATCATAAAGGAAGTTTTGAAAAAACAAACATAAAGATTATAGCACTCTTCAAAAGTTTTTTCCTTGTTTTCAATAGTTTTATTTTTATTTATTTATTTTTAGAGAGAGAGAATTTCAATATTTATTTGTTTTTTTTCAGTTTTCAGCGGGCACAACATCTTTGTTTGTATGTGGTGCTGAGGATCGAACCCGGGCCGCACGCATGCCAGGCGAGCGCACTACCGCTTGAGCCACATCCCCAGCCCCTTCAATGGTTTTAGAAAGTTTCAATTTATCTTTAATGTTACTTACTTTATGATTAGAAAAACTGCAAACAATCACTAAAGTCCTGCCCTGATTTCAGATGAAAATCTCTGTTTTTAAAGGAACAAACAGATGCTATAACATGTACATTTTCTAGTCTTTAACATTTATTTTCAAACCATAGCTGAAAACTTCAGGTGAAGTATGGATAACAGAACTATTTGAAAACCTCCTAATTCATACTTCCTAATTCATTTCTGCCTCTAAATTGGTCTTAATCATCAGCTATGAAAAAGTCCATTAATATTTAACACAGACATGCCTGAATAACAGGGAAATACATAATTTTTATTACCTCTCTAATCAGGTAAATAAGAAAGGGAAAATTGTAATTATGTTTTAAGAAAGCTCAAATATCCATTACTTTAGAAAATAATGAAAATCATCAGATTTTAAACTAAATAAGAGTAATCTGAATAAGTGCACAGTAAGCCAAAAGGTACTTATTGAACTACTGAAGGGTAGCTTTATCAATGTAGTTACTTTTTCTAAGCAATATATAGAAAAATATGTCACATGTCCATAATTGGCATATGTGCCTAAATATTAATTCTCTTATAAAATATTTTAGTAATACAGAAATATACTTATATCCAGCTGAGTTTGAATTATTACAAATATTGAGATTGTTGATAACAAATATGAGATTGTGAGGAACATTTACAAAATGGAAATTTTCTAAAAACAGAAACATACCCTAACAATACCAGAAAATATTCCTAAAAATAATTTTATAATATTTTGATACAAACAGGTATATCACAATTTACTACAGGCCTGTTTCACTTAGGAATATTTTCTGGGTAATTCTAAACCAACTCTCACTAAGTACTAAATAATAACACAGTGTTGCATTCTTTTGCAAAAATTTTTATTTTTTATTTTTGGGGCCTCACGCATCCTAGGCAAATACTCTACCACTGAGCTACATCACTAGTCTTGCATCCTTGCAAATTATGACCAAAAGTATGTAAGAGCCATCCATCCATGTATGACCAAAAGTATGTAAGGGCCATGTTAATGGAATTTTATGTGAAAAGCAACTTGCATTAAAGAAGCTATGAACTATCTCAAAATTAAACAACAATCAAGCATATCACAAATATGTATAAAATAAGTAACGTTGACATTTGTTCCAATCACATCTTAAGAAAATCTTAGAAACTGTGATCAGCATGGAATTTAAAAAGAATACAATCTTATCATACTTTCTTCCAAGGCTGTCTAGTTCCTAGAGTGCTCTTTAGATTGAAAAAAATCTGATTCTAATAGCAACCATGATTTTTCACTTTAGATTCTGGAATTTGAAATACTGACTTTTTTCCTAGAAAGTCAAGAAAGGTCTTTTGTTGTTGTTGCTGTTGTTTTGTCTTCAGTTTTATTAAGGTAAAACTGGCAAATAAAAATTGTGTATATTTAAGTTATATAACATGATGATTAAATATATATGTATACATTGTGAAATGATTACTTTAATCAAGCTAATTAATATAGAAAGGGTCTTAATCATACAAATATTCACATATTCATGTTCATATTAAGAAGAGGTATAAGAAGAAAATTAAAAAGCTAATTGAAAATATCACTTTCAACTGAGTACAATGAAATTTCACTAGATTTCTTCCCTTTACTTCAAATAAATTAAACTTTTATTTCTAAAACTTTCTTTGTACTCTACCAAAACAAAAATTTCTAAGAGAGATAATAATACCTATTAAAGGCTTTATCTAGGGACAAGAGAAATTAAATTGTTCAGAATCATAGGTAAAATAATTTTAAGGCTCTCAGGATTTTGACACCAAAAATTATGATCAAATGTTCCAATGACTAGTGTTTATGGACATGAAAATATCTGTCTACAACTAACAACAAATTGAGATGTATTCAACAATAAATCCATGAATAAGTCATACTGCATTAATTTCTGCCTTTTACATTAATCATTTAGACTTTTGCCATGTGATCAAAATAAAACCTCTGAGTAGAAAAAAAAATAATTTTATGTCTTAATGGCACAATATATGATTTGCCACAGAAAGACACTAGAAGATGCATATATAACTGAAGCATATTTACACCCCCCAAAAAAATAAAAATCAAAGAAGAAATGGACAGAAGAAATAGCATGGAATTAGAAGTAGGGAAACAAAGGCTCACATCACATCTGCTACTATCTTGCTATATAACCACTGGCCAATTATTTAACTTCTCTATACCTCAATTTTTCTTGTCAAAAAATAGATTTATTATTGTATCTAAGGAATCATTCCCCAAATTGTTCTAGAAAACACTTTCAATAAAATGACAATAAATAATTGAGAGGGACATTGAAAAGTCTTCTATGGTCTAATTAAGTTTAGACACATTACATACTACCAAGAAATTGGTTCTAGTGACATATAATGAGGCTAAAGTCAGCTAGTTTGTTGGAGGACTCTGAGATATTTCTCAATGATCCTCACCTTCCAGTATTCATGTTCTTACATAACATCTCTTCCTTTAGCATGTGAACTAGATTTCTTGACTCACTTGTGAAGAAGAAAATATTGCAAGAGTATGATGATGTGCTCTCTGATACTATGTTGTAAAAAGACTATGGCTCCCACCTTGGTTCTGCTCTTAGCTGCTCTGTTATGAGGCAGCCCTGTGAAAAGGTCCTTGTAAAGAATCAAGAAATAAGATCTGAGGCTTTCAATGGCCATGTGACTGAGTTTGGAAGTAGTTCTTCCCCTAGTAGAGGCTTAAGATGAGACTGTGAGGCCTAATACCTTGAATAGCTAAATTGTTGCCAGGTTCCTGACTCACAGAAACTGGAGATAATAAATATTTGTCTGCAGCTGCTATGCTTCAGGTTAATTTGTTATACAGCAATAGATAACCAATATACCCCAATACCTAGACTATTTTACAAATAAGGAACAAACAGAAAAGTATTAATGTAGTTAAGTCAAGCAAGAGTCCCACAATCAAATCAATTTGGGAATTACTGCCCAATATCCTCTTGAAGATGTTCATTGCATATTACACGATAAAGGCTCTGAGAAGTTCTTCATTTCTTTCCTTCAGTTCTTTATTTCACAGAACATGTCAGACAACTAAGCCTTTATTCTAAAAACACCCCTTAAAATGTTTATGTAAAGTGAACTTTAGATACTCTTAAAAGCCTTTCTTATTCTCACATAAAATGCTATACTCTATTTGAAAAACTTAAGATACCTTGCCAAGTTGCTGTAGAAATTTCAAATGTCTCTCTTCAAATTGTGTAGGGTCTCTGTCTTCAAATGCACCAGAAAACCCTAGGGCACCAATCCTCATGTTTGGTAGCATGTCATTTTCTGTTAATAGTTCATAATCTGGAGAAATACAGAAAAACATCATCTTAAGTTGGCAAATACATTCTCTGCATTAAACTGATACACATTCAAGCTGACAAAATAATAAGAGTGAGTTAGAAATACTAAATGATATAAGAAAATGCAAATGGTTAGATTATCTTAATAGAGCCTTTACTTATTACTCATATCTGATTCACTTTCAAGAAATATTTTACAAAGAATGAATGATTATTTTACAAAATAGGTAATTTTAATATTTAAAAAATAAGGTATATATTCTGATTTTTGTGGTGAGAATGGTGAGTAGGCCTGAAGCAGGAAGTACCCATGGGGAAAATACATGTGTATTTAGCTCAATATTTTAAAGCAGATAAGAACAGCCAAAACCAAATTCACTTCATGTTTAGAAGATCAATCATTAATAAAATATACAGAAACCAGTTGAAAACCTAAAGAACTAATATTTAAAAAAGCAATGTAGTCAAATAAACATTTGTACAACCCAAATAAACATGCTTCTCATTACCTGGCAAACTAAAATTAAGTTGGAGTCTAATACTCCCATGTTGTGGGCATGTAATAAATTCTGTTTCTTTTTCCTTTTCAAATGAGCAAACAAACAAAAAATGAAGTTACTGAAGAATAAAAGACATTTTTAAAAAATAAAAGACTACCCAATCAAGGAGATCAAAATATGTATAAAGCATGAGAAATCATATAAATTAAGAATGCCTAGAAGACATCATAAAACTTTTTGATAGGGATTGCAGAATTAATAAAGTTTATTAAATACAACAAAGAAAGATAGTGATCAGTATGATGACTTAATCAATACATACCTGGAGTAAATAAACTGTTAAGATCTCGTATAATGGCTCTGAAAGAAGGCCTAAAATCTGGTTCATAATCCATGCAATTATTTATAAGGTTTGCTAATTCTGTCCACTTTGGTGCAGGAAGCTGATGCCTATCTTCATAAAACTGTAGCTTCTACAATTAAAAAACAAAATGCTGAAAATAAATTGTATAATGATATACAACATTCTTATTAAAATTAATGTGTTGAGAAATATCAAATCATCTGGAAGAAACATGAAGGATCACAAAGTCATTCTAGAGTCAGTCTGTATCAACTTACTCTTTGAGAATCTAGAGCATTCAGAGGCTTATCTCCTCCACTGCAGATTTCCCATAAAGTGGTACCAAAACTCCACTTGTCTGTTGCCAAATTTAGATTTTTAGGATTTTCAATGCATTCAGGTGGTACCCACGGTATTCTCTCCTGAAGAACTTTTAAATGATAGGGACAAAGTATAATAGTTAATAATCCCCAGAAATAAACCAGTGTTTTACATGCAAATAGTTTTCAAATTTATTTGAATAATTGAGTCTTATTTTGTTGGAGGGGGAATGCTCATGCTCACACTTGCATAAGCTTGGAAGGTACATTTGAGATAATCAAATTCAATATTACAGCTTTTACAATGACAATATTGAGATGAACAAAACTGACTAATTTGTCAAAAAGTTACACAATTTGTTAGCAGAATGGACAGCATTAGAATCCTATACAAGGAATTCCTTATCACTTAAACTTCTTTGCATTAAACCATAGCATCTCAAATGGCATACTGCTTTCTCTATCTCTTCCCATTAGTTCACCTTTCAAAAAAATTTGCTTAAAAAACTATAAAATTTGCCCTAAATACTTCCTGATATTTAAAATTTTTCTTTATACTGTGAAAATAGTAAATGTGTTGTTAAATGATTGAAAGTGCTGTTAAATTGAAAGTGTTGTTAAATGATTGAATGATTTATTAGCACTGGCCATCCTGACTTTCAGATAAACAAGGATCAACAGACATTTACCATAACATGAAGTGAATGACTAAATTATACTAAAATATTCTAGGTATTGATAAATTGTTTTCTGCTCAGATCATGGAAGTTCTAAAGTAAAGTTTCTATGGTCCATGACTGCAACAGAAAGATGATATTCAAAGAAAGAAGAAGCAATATAACTCTATCCTCTGATATTCTGGCACAGGTAGATGAATAGATTGTATATACATAATAATACACTATTATATCTTTTAGTATATTTTGGTAAAGCAATGTGAATATTTTTGCTGTATAATCAAGAATAAAGAGGACATCAATTCCCCTCCCCTTCATCATATGAATATATTTTTTCTCTATCTTTATCTCCCATGGGAAAGGGTAAAACTTCCTTGAGTGCCAGATCTAAGACCCTATAAGATTTTCTGCCCTATACTATTATTATTGTCTATTATTGTCTATACTATTATTATTGTCTATACTATTATTGCTGTCTTCACTTTTGGATAAGCCATCAAGTTTAAGTACTACTAGATCAAGTAAGATACTGTACATCAATTCCAAAAAAATTGATCATTTTAGATTCTAAATTAGAACATTTCATTAGAAATTTAGCTAAGATAATGAAATACAATTATAATATTATTTGGATACTACCACCGCCCCCGCCCCCCAAAAAAATCTCAACTCTTTGAAACTTTTACTATTAACTTACTGTGTAAACAGAAGATTAACAGACACACAAAAAAAGGCTTTTTAAAGAAGAGTTATTAAATGTCAGAATTAGCCAAATAATTAAATGAGATCTCAAGCTGGATAATATCTCTTTTCAAACAAAAAGTTTTTTTAAAGTAACTAGAGAAAGGGAGATTTTAAACACTTACCATGGCTCAATGAATAATATTAGAAAATTTCAAATTAAAATGAAATAAAATCTCATTTTCCACAAAATAATTATGGACCAAAATTCCATAACATAATTAGGAACCAAAACTGTTTTTTTTTTTTTAATTATCTCACAGTCCACAGTGGCATGCTTATCATGAAGAAGAAATGGACAAAGACAAGGATGTAACTTTAACTTAATTGAAACTGTTAAAAGGGATAGCTTAATATTATTATTTAATCAATGTTAAATGCAATCCCTATTGAACTTACTGTCCTTTGGTAAAACTGTAATGCTAATGCCAGGATCACTAAGTTTGATGAAAGGAGGATTTCCTGTTTTCCTGTCTTCTTCTCTGATAAGCAGAATATTTTTGGCACATACATTCCCATGAACAAGGGATTTTTCTTCCTATTAAAGTTAAAAGGACATACATTGAAATATCAATCCACAAGTATTTGAGCATTTAATTTGGTCCAGACCCCAAAGTAGATTTAAAGAAGAAAGATATGTAAGATAGCATAATAAATATTAACGTGGTAGCATGCTTTGAGACAGTAAAAGTTTTTATGACAGTACAGTTTTCATTTGTACTTTACATAACACAATAATTTATACCCAGGATGAATAAATTAAAGCTACTCAGTATTACTTCACTTTCCAAAGCTGAGATTCTAAACAGTATATATTTCTAGATGGGAGGAAGTATTGTTTTCAGTTCAACAATAGGACACAGGTACATTCTGAGCGGTCTGAAAACTGGGTTGACTCTCTAATATTCTGCTTCTCTGTCAACACTGCTTTCTACTGGACATAAGGTTCAACTGTCCCCAAACACTGTAACAAGGTATTTTCTGCTATCCACAGCAACACAATATATTTTGGCATAATTTTTGGTTAAATTTTCTAACCCAACTGACACACTACAGATTGTCCAACAGTAGTTCTATGAGACCAATGGGATGAAAAAACTGTTTCTTTCTAAAGGTATTTTATTTAAAATGTATATATAAAATAATCCCTTTCATCACCTAACACAGATTTTTTGAACGACTCAGCATCTCACAAATTTATTTCTTTTTGCCAGATCAACATAATTTTACAGTGCTTCATAAAATAAAACAATAAGTTGTGATAAAAAAATGTTAATTACTTACTAGAAAATGCATGGCCCATGCCAACTGTTTAGCCACTTCAAGTTTCCATAATATATTTATAGAATTTTTATTCTTTTTCAGATATGTATCTAGTGATCCATATTTTACAAACTCCTGAACCAGAATATCTGCATTAAAATATAGGTAATAATAATAGGGCTTAAGTATAAATATAATTAAAAATGTATGTTTTAAACTTTTATAAATATATTTATAGTTATCTTTGGATATCATAGATAATTAACTAAGAAAAATTCATTAATATAAATGAAATTTAATTAATATACAAAATTTTTAGTTTATTCACAAGAGTAAGATATAGCAATATAAACAATTATGTGTATATATATATATATATATATTTTAAATAATCACATGTAATATACATTATACAATATTATATATGCTATTACTCTAGTACAGATAAAGACTATTTCTGATATCAATATCTAATAATTCCAGTCAGTTCCATTAATAATTCAGTCTTATTTATATACTTTGTCTTCATGATTCTAAATAAGGAATTATTTGGAATTATTTGAAAGGGCCAATTGTTTCAATGTTGTACTGAACCAGCCAAAATCTGTATTGCCATGGTAAACATAAAAAGTTGTAAGATGTTTGTTTACAATAATATTCTATTGTTTAGTCATTGTAACAAAAGGTGTATTAACTATCTTCTGCATTTTAACTTCATTCATTGGGTTCCTTTTCAACAAGGCATAACTGCACAGTCCTAAAATGTTTTCTGGTTCAACAATATTTAATACCTACTAAATTATAGTTTATACTGATACCTAACTGTGATCATGAAATTGAATTTTCTATATAAGCAAGAATGGATTCTCTGGGAGAGGCGTGACACTAGCATAAGAAAGCAAATGGTTTTACTTACTCTCGTCTCCACAGACACATACTCCATAATTTAAAACCAAATGCTTATGAGAAAGCTGGCTCATCATGCTTGCTGCTTCAAAGAAAGACTGGGTAAAGAAAAATAACAAGACATGCAAAAAAATTATTGTGTGACTTTTATTCGTTAGTATCCATAGTTCAGAAAAATACTCTCTGCCATTAAAGAAATGCAATTTCTCCTATACTCAGCAGGCTACAGTGTGCTTTGGTACCCTTATATGGACTTGCAACTGACATCGACCTTAATTTTCATGGTGAGGAAACCCTTAAGTAAGTCTGGAATACGGAGATAGCAATGAAAAAAAGCAATAGTGGTAAAGAGTACTATGAACAATGCAAGTCAAACAGGCTTAGACCCAGAACTCCTGGAATACAGAGAGACACCAGACATATGATATGGAACTGAAGTAGGAGGATATAAACTTTAAACAACAGTTCCTAAATAATTAAGAATGGTCTCTGTGCAAATAAATAACACCTATCTCAGGATACTGGTATTGTATTGATATCACTCTAACAACCAAACTTTGACAAGAACTTCTAATTCTATGAAACCCATAAGGCTCTGGAGAGCCAAGTTTAAAAGCCACTAATTTAGTATATGAAGAGATGTAATAATACCCATAACACAATGCTAAAAGTAATTAATTTGGAAATCAGCTATTATTTTTAAAATTCCTATAATTTTCAATAGCTCCATCAGAACGCATTCTCAGAAAATTCCTTGACACAATTTTTAAAATTACAATTTTGAAAATCTGTACACATAAATCTTGTGTGCATATGAAATCACATCTCTACACAGTATAAACTACATGAACTGCCCAAAGAACATACATACCTCTGAATAATTTCTATGTGCTTTATCCAGAACTTTTAAAAGAACTTCCGTTTCATGCAGTTGACCATAGTCTCCTACTTCTCTTCTTATACCTTTAAAAATTTTTGTAAAAGTGCCTTGACCAAGGCTTTCATTCTTTAAAAGAAAAAAAGAGATTTAAAAAATGAGTAAAATGGAGAAATATGTGGGAAATAGGAAATATAACCAATGATGAAGACAAAAAATACAAGGCCATTGTAAACATTTCCTTTAAAAACTAAACCTAGATTTGAGATTCTAAATTAATTCTTCTATTCTTCTTTAAAAGTAATTAAAGACAGAAAACAAGGATTAATGAATAAAGTACATTTTGGTTCTACCCTTCTTAAAAATCTTCTGCATTGGCTGTAATTATCACTTTTTAGAGTCAAGGTTTACCTACATTTATAGATGAGTCTCTTTTTCTGTTTGCCTTTCCTACTAATGCAAGAAAAAACGTAAACCAGTGTGGTCTGGGAAGGCAGAATATCTGACTTGTTCCTTATCACTAACTAGCTGTTTGACTTTGTATAGGCTATTTTCTCTCTTTGTGCTGCACTTGTCTTGGTTTCTTCATCTGAGGAATAAGGAAAATAACAATCTTTCCCATAGAATTTTTTTAACAATAAGTGAATGAATACATGAAAGCACTATGGTACAGACCATGACACATAATGAATTCACATTAAATAACAGCTACAACTAGTAATAACAGTACCAGTATTTCTTGTATATCCTCATTGACTGTTGAAAGCCTACACTCTGAAGCAGGATTATCGGTGTCCATATCCAAGCTCTACTCCTTATTAGTTCTGTAATGTTAGTTAAATTTCTTGGCCATGAGATGTCATGCCTTTATAGTCTGGGTAATTCTTCCATCTCTTCATGGAATTTTAACAGCAATTAGTCTTCAAATTTCCCTTCCCTTAATTTCTTTTTCATTTCTTTCTATTTGCTGCACCCTGGATAATTTCTTCAGGTCTATCTTTTAATTCAATAATACTCTTCAGTTATGAGTCATCTGCTTTCTGATCTGTCCATTTTATTTAAATGTCAATGAACATATATTTGATTTCTGGGTCTCCCTCCAACCAGAGTTCTTTATCCTTTAAAATAATGTCTTATTAAGCTGGGCACAGTGGCATACACCTATAATCCCTGTGACTCAGAAGGCTGAGGCAGGGAGATTGCAAGTTCAAAGCCAGCCTCAACAACGTAGGGAGGCCCTAAGCAACTTAGTGAGACAATGTCTCAAAATAGAAAATAAAAAATGGCTAGGGATGTGGCTCAATGGCTAAACTGATGAATTAGCTTAACCTATGGATTCAATCCCCAGTACCAAATAGTAGTAGTAGCAGTAGTAGTAGTAGTAGTAGTAGTAGTAGTAGTAGTAATAACAACAACAGAAACAATAATGTCTTATTTTAAGTTGTTTTCATTTTCCCATGTTTTCCACTTCTTTGTTTATCTTTAAATACACATGTTTTGCAGATCACACTGGTAGCATAAACTAAAATTCAAAAGCTTATGACTTAAATTCTTAGAAGAGTCTCTTTTTTCTAAGAGCCCAATTAAAATAGACAATGTTCCTTTTCCTCTCCTTTTGCAAGTGGGTCAATCTTTCTTTTTCCATATATATTTTTTGAATTGAGGATGAATATTCTTGAGGGATTTGACTCAGAGATGGTCTCACTTTTAACTCCTATCCTTGCACAGGCCTAACATATGGCCCTCTTCTTTGTACTGCTTTGAATTTTAAACTCCATGATAAATGAAACTAATCTCCATCCTCCCAACACCAACAGACAGTCAAATCATCAGCTCTTATATACTGTTTTGCTTTTAGTTCTTTCCTTATTTTTAATCCCTTGAATTTCCCTTAATTTCTTGAGAACTTGAGATTTAAGATATGTCTTTTATAGATTTTAAATTTTTATGATTTGTAGAGGAATATTTTTAAATTTCTGAAAAAAAGGCTTTCATTCTTAAAATAATTACTTTTGCTAATTTCTCACACAAGATTGGCATATTCTTTATAAGAAATAAAAATATTTAAATTGCAAGTAAATTTCAACAGTATGGTTTGTAACAAAATAGTTCCAAATGTCACACGAATATACGTAGGATAGTAAATCAAGAAAATAATTATTGTTTTAACACTTGTTTTCTTTTTTTTTTTTTTTTGAGGTGCTGAGGATTGAACCCGGGACCTTGTGCAGGTGAGGCAAGCACTCTACCAACTGAGCTATATCCTCAGCCCACTGTTATTGTTTTAAGAGGATTAAAAAAGACAATAATAAGTATCTAATGACTTACGAATATTAAATCTTCATTTCTGATTTTGTGAAACACCATTTGGTTCACATTATTATGCCTCTGTAATGTTGGTGAGGTTGGTACATCAGAAATGCCATTGGTTCTGAAGACCAGAAGATTTGATTTATCTAGGAGAAAAACAATAAAAATATATATTTTTGTGTATATATATATATATATATATATATATATATCATCAAAACACACTGAAAATATGAATTACTCCAAAGATGAATAAAATGAAATGTGTTCTATATGTAAAAAATTCTTAATAACTCATTATTGTTAATCTTTTTTCCTAGAAAATTACTGTAGGGATCTATTCATTGAACTTTAAAGTACTCTTACCAATTACTTCATACATTCAAAATCATAATCTCTTCCTTAACAAATATGATTTTTTCAGGCATTTCAATAATTTTAATAAGACTTATTATCTCAATAAATTACCAATCTATTTTTTAAAATATAGAAAGTAAAATCCTAAAAGCATGTTTAAGTTTATATTTAAAACACCTGAGAATCTGGTAGTGAGAACTTCCAGTTCAATAAGTAAGCAACTGATTTATACCAAGTAATTATTATCTTTAAATGTCATTTTTACAAAAACAGAAATTCAATTCACTTATATACAACTCAAACCAAACTATACAATCCTATTTGATGATGTTTGCATGAAAGAATGAGACAAATTTAACTTGGTTTTGGACTACTGCTTTAATATTTCTTTTGAAATCCATGTATTTAAGTTACATCCCACCACAGACACAATGCAAGACCAGTAATTTTTTTAAATAACTAGAAAATTACCTTTTGGCTTTGGGGGACAGCATTTAGTAAACTGGAAAATTATATTGTCTGAGCGAACAGTTTCCATCTGGTAGCAATTCAAAAGATCTTTAAGATTACTGAAATTCTTCTTAGTTCCACTGAGATTATATTCTCTATTTTCATTTTTAGTAATCAAACAGTGTTTATATTCAATGACACTTTCTTGCTACAAAGTTTAATTATAAAGACAGGGAGGGAAAATCACAATAAACATCATAGTGATTATTCTGTCAAAAAAAATCACAAAACAATCAACAAAATATTCAGACATTTGAACTGTGAATCCTAAAGTAAGTGCTGGTATAGTGATAGTCAAGAATTTCCTCAAAAAAAAGCATAATTATAATGTCATATAGCCTTTTACTAAAAGCAAGTAAGAAAGCAAGAAAAATCAATAGTAATTTATTAGATGAATAATATATAAAATCTAAACCTCGTGTTATCGTGGTCCTTCATAAGTTTGCTTCTCCTTCTATGTTCAACCTCAGTTCCTGCCCCTTCCAACATGCAATCTATTTTATAGCCAAATTAAATGACTTAAATAATTTCAAGTACCTACCACACTGTTCACACCTTGGTAACTGTATTTGTCATTCCTCTACTATGATTGTACACCCTCCCTGAAATGAACTGTTACTCATTCCTTAAAACTCAAATCAAGCTCTACTTTTTCTGTAAGGTCCTAACAACAGTTATCCATTTCACAGAAAGATTACTGAATACTTATTCCATTGCACCACTATTGTATTTGTTATAATTATCTCTAATATGGCACTTCTAATATTGCAGTTTTAAAATATTAGTCTTATATGCTATACTATGAATTTGTTCCTCCATCTATTTTTTTTGGGGAGGGGGGGGTAATAGGGATTGAATCCTATTAAATGCCCTAGTAAGGGCAATTAACCACTGAGCCATATCCCCAACCCTTCTTTATTTTTTATTTTGAGACTGGGTCTCACTAAGCTACTTAGGGCCTTGTTAAATTGCTGAGATTGGTTTTGAACGTGTGATCTTCCTGTCTCAGTCTCCCAAGTTGCTGGGTTATCTTACTGTTTTTAAGCTGCTTTTTATAAGCATATTCATTCCACTTAGAACCATTTACAAAACATCTACCAGACCCTCAATTTCAATTTCAAATGTTTCCTACTCCAAAAGACCTTTCTTAAATATTGCAATCCTTTTTTTATTGTCTATATTTGTCAATGCTAGATAATTACTAAGTTCAATTTCGTATTTTTTGTTATTTTTAAATTTTTTACTTTCAAAAGATAAGTTTCTCAAATATAGGGTTATATTGTATGTTCCCTAATGCCTATCATTCACATTAGAGTGGGCACATGTAGTAAATTATATATACATTTTGAATTTATAATTCAGTATAATGAATTGTTAAATGTATAATAAAAAGATACTCTAAAATTAGAATATAGTTTCAACTTTATACAATAGTAAATGATAAGAGGAAACATCCAACCCTTTGTAACTATAGTGTTCTAATTTTAAAAAAAGAAAAACTAAAAAAAATGGTAAATGATGGAGTAATCTACTTTCTATATTGATAACTAATCCATTCTACACTTTTACTAAATATAAGATGGTTGCTTTTATAATAATTTTATTACCTTACTTTCTCTATTTGTAAAAAGTAACATGTATCTAGATGTTGTTATAAAGGTTCTCAGAGTTTAAACAATGAAATTGCCTTATAAATGATATTTTAAGATAATTTCAGATACTAAGTAAATCTTAAATAAGGTCGAAGATTATCTATATTAACAATGAAGTTTCACTGCAGTTTTTCACTTAAAACAAATTACAAATCATTATTCTTAAAATTGGAAAATCACTGGTTAAAAGTGCTATGATAATTCTGTTTCTTTATTATTGCTCTGTTTTGCTCTAATTAGTAACTGCTGTTAGTAAACAACAAATTTACTCCTAATTTATTTTATTCTACCTGGGAGGGTACAGATTTCCATTTTGTGAAGAGACCACCAGAAATCTGATGAAATGCCATTTGACACAGTGATAACACCCAAACGTCAAACAACAAAAAAAAAGAAATGCCAAATAAAACCATAGAAAAACATTGTATATCATTTTATACTTTAATGAAAACACTAGGAATTATATATTTATTTATACAGAATTCCTGAGGTAAATGACACATTATCATGCCAGTTATATCCAGAGCTGTAATTCTGCATATTAAAAAATAAATACAGTATGGTAGATAAATATGAAGAGGAAAGCACATGGACTAAACAACATGCTACTATTAATAAATGTGATATACTAACCTCAACAGCAAAAGTCAGAAAATACTTATTAAAGTCCTTAGGACTACATCGAAGTACATACAGCCCAGTCTGATTACCTGCTTTTTTCAGTTTACTGATGGCAAAATCCATTCTAAAGGTAAAGAAGAAAGAATTTGAAGGCTAGAAAGCACCATGACATTATGATCAAATGTTATCCAAAAATTCAGAAATAAAAATCTAAAACTCTCAGAATTTTTAGAATACTTCTCTACTTTATACGTTTACAATAATCTTTCAAGAAAAAAATTAAAGTACCAAGCTATTATACAATAAGTTCAAAATAATTCAAGGCAATTATATTACTTTAAAAACACAGAAAAGATATTATGAGATAAAAATCACAAAAAAATTCACTCAGATATTTTGCCTCTGATCATTTATGATTTGAAAAATCATACTCACTCTCATAAGATTTCATTCAACTATGCAGACAACATATCAGAAATACTCTTCATGTCTCTTGTATCATAATTTAAGTTACTAATACCAACAATTATGTGCACTACTTTAACATTTAGTACAATATCAAAGTCTAACAGAAGGCTTGTGAGTAGCTGGAAGACTAATGAGTTTTAAATTTTTCTACATTTTTGAAGGGGCACATCTTAAAAGAAAAGCAAAATATAATCTGCATGAAAGCAAGAACCATTTCTATTTCAGGTGTCACCATATTTCTCATGCACAGACCAGTGCTTACATTTAGTAGGTACTCAATAAACATTCTTTAAATAAATAATGGAGATAAGGGTCAGGGAACGGATGAATGAAAGGAGTTTTTACACTGTTGAACATATAAATTACAAAGATAAATTTCAAGAAGTTCAACCTCATAGTAACAACCATATTTATTACTAAGTAAACACTGAGCACAGCAGCAAGTCTTAAATATTATTCAAGATACATTTTCTCAAACATTTAGGTGTAGGTTAAGTTCAAGAAACATGCTCAGAATCCCAAATCTTTTTTGTATTCAGGTTCTTCAAATATGATACCAATCATAAAGAACATCCTATCTGAAAAATAACTAGGACTTGCATTAAATAAATTTTATACATCACAGCTAGCTTTACCCAGTGTTAAAGCCAGGTTCTATAATTGTGTAGGTCGATATAGAAGTTATTAGCCATACATAGGTATTTAAATGTAAAGAAATTAAAATTGAATTAAATATAAAATTCAATTTCTCAGTTGCAGTAGCCACATTTCAAATGCTAAATAGCCACATATACCTAGTGCCTACTGGATTAAATATCCTATATAAAGAATATTTTCATCTCTGATGAAAGTTCTATTGCACAGTCCTCATCTAGAAATATGGATATCATATATACATCTTGCATTTGAGGCTTCAGTAAAAGAAGTTGCATTATTCAAAAATAGTAACAATTTTCAAATTTTGACTTGTGGTTCCTTTGCAGTATTTCAAAATTAGTGTAATATAAATTGGAAGTGTTCTTTTAAAAAGAACATCTATGAGTTAACTAAGTATGCAAAAATAACTAAATGTTAAACTTGTATCACAAGTTGTGAGTATTGTAGATTGGGACACAGATGGTAAACTATGTCCAAAATAATTGTTATGTAATCTGACTTATGCAAACAGACTTTATGTCAAAAAAGAAAACATAAATTATAATAATATTTTTTCAAAAACTTCTAAACCTACATCTATCATACAAAATTTTCTTTGTAAATACAGTCATCCCTTGGCATCCATAGAGGCTTGGTTTCAGAATCAAACTTTGAGGTTTTGCTCAAATCCCTTATATAAAATGGCATAATTTTCACATGTAAATATGTACATCCTCCTCTATACATTAAATAGTCTCTAGATTATTAATAAAACCTAATAAAATGTAAATTCTATGTAAATAGCTAGTACACTGTGTTGTTTAAGAAATAATGAGAAATAAGGTTGGTACATGTTCAGTACAGACACAACATTTTTAAAATATATATTTTCAATTGTAATTGACTGCATCCATGTATGTGGAATCTAAAGATAAGGGACTGTGCAACACTTGCTTTAAAAATTTTTTTTTTACTTTTAAAGTTGGTATTACTCACGAAATTGGGCCATGACAGTTGCTTTGTATATTTTCAAGCATTGTTGGAGGTGCTACTTCTTTACAGAGATAATGATGCGCATCTGCAGTTAATCTGTAATACCCATCAATTAATGACACAAAAGACAAGGCTTCTCTCAATGAGGTAAGTTCAATTTCCTAAGCAGAAAAAAGAAAAATAAGCTGTTAAGTATCATTTAAAAAGTAAATTTAATGCTAAATAATAAAAGTTCACTACACTCCATGTAATATCATTTCTCCTAATTTTATTTTTTTAAATTGCTTAAAAGTTTTTTTGTGATTCCCAGTTACTTTATCATGTACTTCCACTTGTAGTTCACTCTATATCATAATTTTACTGTATTTTCCAATACCCCTATTTGACTAATATGAGTCTTCTCAATTAGAAATTCATTTAATCTGATACAAAAGTTGGTATTGAGAGGTCATAAGCAGTTGTTTTTACATACCTACTGCACACTGCTAAGTATTCATGATATAAACTAAAATGTTAGGATATGTAGCTGTGTTGTGATTGTATCATTATATATAGATGTGAACATACACTCAGCCTAAAATACAGTATTTATCTAATGGGAAAACATACATACATACATATATAAAAGTACATGTGTATGTGTGTATATATACACACACATATTCAACTTTATTATGTCATGAAAAAATAAAGCCCTATTTAAAACAATAAAAATAAGTAGTAGTGAGGATTAAAGTTAACCAAAAAATGTGCAAAATGATTATTAGAAAAACTTCAAAACACTTGTGCAACACAACTTTTTATTTGAATATACAGAAGATTACCTATGTTCCTGCATGGGAAAATTCAACATCATCAAATGTAAAAATCTTCCCTAAGTTAATTTTCCATTTTGTCAAATCCTAAAAACACCAATGAATACTAGAGGACATAGCAAGAAGAACAAGGCAAATATGGGATTCAGAGAACCAGGGATCCAACATAAGAGAGATAAGATGATAATTCACAGGATGATAAAAAAGGAATGCTGAAAGATTACAGCTGTGGTTATTAACAACTGTATCTAGAGAGCTTCCAGGTGAGATTAGGAAAGCCATTACCTAGTGATCAAGGCAGAGCTTCTCTGGAAGAAAGAGACATTATATAATATTTGACGGGTTTGACTATATGAAATTTTATACTGAGAAATGAGCTACTTTACAAAGTCTTTGCAGGGAATGGAAAGACAACTATAAATACAAAGGGGAAAGCAATAATTAGCTACTGGAAAAACAAAAGATTACAAAAGAATGGAAATGTGATCTGAGTATACTTCTTGGCTCTTCAATACATAATATTTACATAATCATAGTAGAAACATAGAATAGGGAGTTAGAACAAAAAGTTTAATAAGAAGTATGTGATATGTTTGAATATTTACTTAATAAAATAAAGCCATAAAAATAGTTACTGTAGCCGGGTATGTTGGTGCACACTTGTACTCCCAGTGGCTCAGCAGACTGAGAAACAAGGATTGCAAATTCAAAGCCAACCTCAGCAACTTATCGAGGCCCTAAGCAAGTCAGCAAGACACTGTCTCTAAATAAAATATAAAAAGGGTTGGGGTTGTGTCTCAGTGGTTATACATCCCTGGATTCAGTCCCTGATACAAACATATTCTCTCTCTCTCTCTCTCTCTCTCTCTCTCTCTCTCTCTCTCTCTCTCTCTCTCTCTTTCTCTGGAGGAGGGTATGAGGGGGGGTTACTGTAAAAGATTCTAGAAGCAAAGTTAAAAGTCTTTGAGAATTACAAGCCAGTACAACAAATGATTGATACTCAATATGTATTGGGGGGAAAATCCTATAAGTCAACTAAAATTAAAAAGTAAAACTAGTCAAAGGATATGAAAAGGCAATCCATAGAGAAGAAATAAATATAGCTACCCTATATAAGCACATAAGAACTGCTCAGTCTCAGGTTCCAATTAAATAAATAAAATATAACAAAAGGAATGCATTTTTACTCATCAATTTTGCAGAAAAATTAAGACTGATAATATTCAGTGTTGGCACAGGTTACAGGGACATGGGGATATACACACATTGGAAACAATGTTGAGACACACTTTAAAAGTCTATCAAATTATAAGTATTTATATCCTTGACCTAGCAATTTTACTTACAGGTATATCTCTTAATGAGATATTGACATATGTATTTAGAAAAGCATATTCAAATAGCTTCTTTTAGCATTTTTTGTAATGACAAAAAATAGCCAAAATTAAGTGTCTAACAATACAATTATTATTAATTCTAAATTAAAGATATATACAGTATGGAATGATATGCAAAAGTTAATTATAAATTATAGGTTAAGGTATATATACAATATGGAGAAAGATGCAATAGTTTTTTTTTTAATTAGATCTATATGTACACAGAATGACAAGTCTTTATTTTTTTAAATCAAGTTCAAGAACAATACATAAAGTATGGCCATATTTTTGTAAATAAAACATTTGTTTTAAATGACAATGAAAACATTTATTTTAATGAAAATGCCATATATGTTGATATGTGTAAAAATACAAAGGCTAGAAAAATACATACACACAAATGGTCACCTATGGAAAGGGGGATAAGACTGAATGAATGTTGATGAAAAAGAATAACCTACTTGTTCTTACATCAGAAAACAAAGAAAAGGGACACACATAAGTAAATATAAAACAATACTGACTTAAAACATAAGAGGGGATAAAATGGAATAAAAGTATTTTAATAATCAAAATAAGACAGAACTAAAACCAAAACAAAATTCATGGGACAATCAGAAGCCAAATAGTAAAATGGCAGACTTAAAACCCAGCTGTGTTAGTAATTATGCCAAATTTAAATGGACAAAATACTATATTAAAATTAAAGATTTTTACTCATAAAAAGTAACTATTAAAAGTAAGAAGACAACCCACTAACTAGAAGATAGTATATATTTTAACAGATATCCTACAAAAGACGTGTATCCAGAATTTTTAAGAACTCTACAAATTGATAAGAAAAAACCAAACAAGTGAATGAAAATGAACAAAGACTTGCACAAGGACTTCATAAGCAGGCTATTCAAAAGAATAATAAGTATATTAAAAAGTGTTCAACATCATTAATCATCAGGGCAATGAAATAAAAACCACAGTGAGCTTCCAGTATGTATTCACCAGGATCACCTTTTTAGGTACAAAATCATAGCTTGGTGACCATATGGGGCAATTGAAAATTTCATTCACTGATGAAAAAAAGGTACATTAGTATAACAACTTTGGAAAACTGCTTATCAGTATCACCATGACTCAATAATCCCACTCCTAATGCCTACCAACAGAAGAATGAATTTTAAAATGCAATACTGATTGTGGATACTAACACACAAAAGGGTGGTGAAGAATAGAAGTTCAGTGGATTGGGCAGAGGGAAGTGAGGGGAAGAAAGAGGAAGGGAGAGGGATAAGAATGGGAAAAACAGTGGAGTTTTCCTATATACATGAACACACCATAATGAATCTCCACCATGTACAACCACAAGACTGGGATACTAATTAGAATAAGATATACTCCATGTTTGTATAAATATGTCAAAATATACTCTCATTTATATCTAAAAAGAATAAGTGTTTTTAAAAATGCAGTACTACCCAGGAATAAAAAAGGAATGAACATGTAAAATCATGAGTTTTCAGATATGCTAAGAATAAGATCTAGATTTTTAAAAATACATACAATATTATTCCATTTATATACCAGAGCAGAGATAATTGAAGGTAAAAGTCAGAATGATGGGTACCTTAAATTGGAGGCAAGGGTGGGAAGAAGCATGTGGAAATCTTCTGAGAATACTGGAAACAGTCTATACCTTAAACCAGGTATGGCTACACAGGTGTGTGCATATGTAAAAATGTATTGAGCTATATACCTAAAATTAATGTATTTTACTGTGTTCAAGTTATGTCTCAACAAAAGTGAAAGAAGAAAAAAATAAAAGAAACAAAAATAAAAGCTATATTGAACTACCTCAAAATTTAAAACGTCTAGGCATCAAAGGACACAAACAACAAAATAACAAAGCATACTATGAATAGAAGACAATATTTGCAAACCTAAGTCTGATAACTGGTTAATGTCCAGAATATAAATAACTATTACAACTCAACAACAAAAAATGGCAGCAAGTACATGAAAAGATGACCAACATCACTAACCATTAGGAAAATGCAAATTAAAACCATAGTGAGATACCACTTCATTCCCATCAGTATGGCTATCATTCAGAAAACAGAAAACAAAAAGTGCTGGTGAGAATGTGGAAAACCTAGAATGCTTGTGCACTGCTAGTAGGAATGTATAATGGTACAGCTACAACAGAAAATAGTAGGGTGGTTCCTCAAACAATCACATACAGAATACCGTATGATCTATCAACTTTATTTCTTGGTTTATCTCCAAAGAAATTGAAAGCAGGGTCTTGAAAAGATATTTGAACATACATATGTACAGCAATGTTATCTACAATAGCCAAAAGGAGTGGAAACAACCCAAAAGAGTATTGATGGATGAATAGATAAACAAATATGGCATATATATATATATATATATGTATATATATGTGTGTATATATATATATATATATATATATATATACATACAATGCTATATACATATCTATTTTAAAGGAAGGAAATTCTGATACATGTTTTAACATGGATTATCACATGCTAAGTAAAATAATACAGTCACAAAAAGATAGTATTGTGTGATGCCACTTATAAGAGGTTTCTAGAGTAATCAAATTTATAGAGACAGAAAATAGAATGAGGTTGCAATAGTTTTTAATGGGTACAGAGTTTCAGTGTTGCAAAAATAAAAAGTTCTAGAGATTGGATGCACAGCAACGTGAATATACTAAACATTACTGAACTGCATGCTTAAAACGGTTATGAGTCTAAGTTTTATTTTGTATATATTTTACTAAAATTTTAAAACAATAAAAAGACAAAAAAAATGCCAGAGTAAAGAGAAAAATGGTAATAAAAAATATAAAACTAACATATAATAGACTGGTAAAATGCAAGAATAAACAAAAATTAGTTACTTTCTTATATCCATCAACAATTTATTTGACAAATAAACTCAGAAAAGTTCTTACTTCTAATAAATAGCATAAAAGCATAATACATCATTAATAAAATTCAGCAAGAAACATGATATATCAATATGAATAAAACTATCAAGTTACTGAAAAACAATATAATACATGGATACAAGAGAAATATAAGGTATTCCTAAAATATATGTTATATGGAAAAGAAACATCAACTCTTCCCAAACTAATCTTTGGTGCAATTACAACAAAATGTCAATGTAATATTTTTAAGAAGCTTTAGGAATACTCACAATTAAGAACTTAGGTTTTCAAATAATGGATTTGAATGTAAATAGCCTTAACATTTTACCAATACTGTGACCTTGGAAAGTTATTTAACTTCTCTGTACTGCAAACTTCATAAATTAAGCCAACAAGTCCACACACCTTTCCATAAGGAATATTACTATAGAATATTCACATTAGCATCAGCATACTTTTCCAGAAAAACTTATTATAGATGCAGAAGGGGGTTGATAATTATTAAACACCCTTTCAACCATCCATGAAATTTTATCATACTCCTAAACTAGCTCCTAGAACACTGTGCAAAATCCAGGAAGTACAAACACACATGAAAATATAACTCTTGCCTTCAAGAAGTTCATAGCCTTCTAGATAGTAGGTATACTTTATCATGTTTTTATCTACTAATAACAGGAAAATGTGCTGAATAAAGTGAATTACAAGTCAGTTATTTTTTTAGTAATCTTTTAGAATCAATCATGTCTTACAGATTGAGTGAAGTTGACCTGGGATTGGTTTGTATTTTGTCATACAAATTCCATATAATATTGCTTTATTTTTGTCCTTTAATTAGGCAGAATGGTTGGTATTATGCACATCCCTCTTGATTAAAAAAAAATAGTCAAGAATGAGCATTACAACAGGCAACTAGCACAACCCAGAGTCAGAGGGAGTGGGGAAAAGAACTGGTGCTTTGTTAATCACAAAAATGTATAAAAAACTGTGGGAAGAGTTTTGGTAAAAAGTGAGGTGAAAGTTTTAAAAAAGTTTACTGAACTGATAATTATGTTTAGAGCTATATTATAACTATAATTAAAAAAGTAACTTTGGTGTTGTCATGTATAACTAATTAGAATAAAAAAGATTTTTAAAAAGTAACTTTGGTATTATAAAAAAGTAAATTTGGCTTTCGGATTCTGAAATATTTATTTCTGATAAATGTTCAATGTAACCACTATTTAGTTGTAAAACAAACTTACCAAATTTTTACCATCTTGTTTATGGATAGTTACAATTCTACTTTCATTTGAGCCTTCCTGGTTTGCTTGCTTAATACTGACATCAATAACTTCAGGAAAATCACAATATAATTGTAAATTCTGTAATTAAAAGCATTTAAAATTTAACAGTTATGGAACCATTTTTAAATAAAACTTATAAAAGAGACAACATTGGTTCAAAATTCTTTAAGAAATACAAATTTTTCCTTCATATATTTTTTAAAGAGAGAGAGAGAGAGAAAGAGAGAGAGATTTGTTTTAATATTTATTTTTTTAGTTTTCCGCGGACACTTGTTTGTATGTGGTGCTGAGGATGGAACCGGGCCGGGCCGCGCCGCACGCACGCCAGGCAAGCGCGCTACCACTTGAGCCACATCCTCAGCCCAAGAAATACAAATTTTTATTGATAACAATAGATAGGCATTATGTGATTACTTCTTCCAAAATTCTAATCCCAAGACTATACTGTATCTTACTTTGACTTGTAAATGAGAACATTAAAGGATGCAAGGAGTCAGCGCTGGGGGTGTAGCTCAGTGGTAGAGAGCTGAAGTAGCATGTGCGAGGCGCTGGATTTAATCCTCAGTACCACATAAAAATAAATAAATAAAATAAAGATATTGTGTCCAACTACAACTAAAAAATATTTTTTAATAAAAAGAAGCAAGGAATCTAAATTGTGTTATCATACTCTCCAACCCAATTAACATTAATAAGAACTGCTGTCAGAAAACTGAAAATATAACTACCAAAAAAAATTTAAAAATAACAACAATATAATCTTAAATCTCTAAAACAATCTAAGAACAATACAAACATGAACAAATTTAAAACTTGCAGTGCAAACCTTAAAAAGTAAATTAATTATTTAACAGGTATATAGTATAATAAAAATTAAGTTAATATTTTCCATTTTATTTTATGATTGTGCCTTATTATCAATAATAATGAATGTAAAAAGGAGACAAGACTACATTAAAAATCACTTACAGAATCCAACCCCTTTCTGAAACTATAAGAAAGTCATTAGAAATTATTTTGTCTTAAAAAGATTAAATAAAAATCCATTTAAGAACAATGAGAGAAGAACTATAGATACAATCTTGATAGCGTCACATGCTACTAGAAACTTCCATTTCTAACAGTGGAAGAAGTACAAGACCAGGTTTGAAATAATTAAAACTACTTTGCTTATATTGTCATTCTACTTAAAATTTATAACAAAGAATGAGAACATATCATTAAGGATTACCTGTTCTGTCAGTGTCTCACTTTCTTTATGTTTCCCTCTTGACCACTGAATTCCACCGTTTCCAGTTATTATAATGGTTGCAAAAATCTCCTCACCTGAAGGACCTCTTCCAGGTTCTTTTACTTCAAATTGCTCTGTGTAGAAGGCAGACTGAAGAGTTTCCAGATTTATAAGATACTTAAGTTTCAAGTTTCTGGCAGTGGCTTTGCATTGACTGAACTGCTGAATAAATTTGCGAAATCTGTACCTTATTCGCTTCCTTGTCAAAATATGATAGTCTTGAATCTTTGCTCGAACACATTTTGGTAAGAATGTCTTATAGCTAGGAATGAAGAGCACACACAGAAAAGGAAAACAAAGAAAACAAAAATTGGAAAATAAACCGAAAACAAAACTGAAAGACAAGTTCTTATCTTTTTCCATGATAGGTAGGTGCTACAACACAGTAGTAAGTTGGAGTAAGTTGATATAACCATCCACAGAGGAGAAAACCTCAATGTTTCATTTGATGGTACACACACTCTAAGTTACCATAAAGCTCAGAATAGAAGATTTTAATTTTCTTCTCCTCATGAAATGCACTCTCAGTCTATAAAAGAGTCTCTAAAAATTCATTTTCTCTGATTATCTTATATCCCTGGGATGGTGATTTATAAGGTGTTTTTTTTTGGACTGTGCTGAAAATATTTCCTATAATATGGAAATTTTTATTTGAATTTTAACCAGATTTTATCTGAATTTTGGAAATTATTGCTTTTTGGTGGTGCTGTTTGTTGTTCATTATGCAAACATACTTTTTTTGTATAAGTTATTTTGTTAGGTTAACTTCTTAAATCCTAATAATTCCTCTGATTGAAATAATTCTTTCTAGAAATACTCTGACCTTTCTGTACTTTTATCTCTATGTATTAGATAGCCTAAAAAGGGGGAATAAATTAATATTTCTGCTTCTAGTGAACACAGACATACAGAGTAACCTCTTATATGTATTTTTTAATATTTATTTTTTAGGTGTAGATGGACACAACACAACGCCTTTATTTTTTATGTGGTGCTGAGGATCAAACCCAGATCCCACCCATGCTAGGTGGGCGCTCTTCCGCTGAGCCAAAATCCCAGCCCTTATATGCATTTTTTAAAATCTAGTAAAGTATTTAGACTATTCAAAGATCTATATCCTACTGGATATTTCCAGAAACAAGCACCTTATTTCATTCTGCAAGGCCTAATTTCTCATCTGTTCTCCCATCAATTCTAAGTAACTTAACAGCAATTAGAGTTCCTTGTTTATTTTTCAGAAATTACCATCAAATAAGAATTCAGAAAACATCAGTGAATTAAATATGTTTTAAACTACTAAGAACAGCAGGCATGTTTTGCCACAGGGCAGGAATAAATTATTTATCCACTCTTAAAATGCCATGGCACAGTAGATAAAAGAAAAATAGGTTAAGTGGGGGTATTTCAAATTTAAAACTTTTATTCTGCAAATTATAACTTCAAGAAAGTAAAAAAAAATACACAGAATGGGAGAAATTATTTGCAAATATTATATGATAACTTGTATTTGGAGACATATCCAGAATATAAAAAGGACACTTACACCTCAATAATAAAAAGACAATTCAATTTTAAAATAAGCAGAGAATTTCAAGAGACATTTTTCCAAAGGAGACATACATATGGCCAATAAGCACATGACAAGATGCTAACCATCGGTAGTCATTAAGGAAATGAAAATCAAAACCAGAATGGGATAACACTTTTACTTGGTAAAGTGGGTAAAATAAAGACAGAGGAGTGCGGAAAAAGTTGGAATTCTCATGTACTGCCAGTGAATCTAATATGGTATAGCTGCTTGGGAAAAGTTTGGTAGTTTGTCAAAAAGTTAAACTGAATTATTGAATGAAATAGGAATTCTACTCCTAAGCATATACACTGGAGAAATAGATATATACATCCACAAAATAACTCATATACAACCCTTCATACCATCATTATTCACAGCAGCCAAGAAGCAGAAACAAGCCAAATTTTCATCAAGTGATGAACAGGTAAGCAAAATGTGGTTTGTTCATACAATGGAATAATAAAACTAAAAAGGAATGAAATATTGATATATGCTACAACATGGAAGAACCTTAAAAACATTATGCTAAGTAAAAGAAGCCAGACAGAAAATGATACCACATATTGTCTGATTCCAATTATATGAAATGTCCAGAATAGGCAATCCATTGAGACAAGAATTAGATAAGTGATTGCCAGAGACTGGGGGGAAAGAGGATGAGGGCTGAATGCTAATGAATATGGGATTTCTTTTAGGAAGGATAAAAATGTTCTAAAATCACATTGTTATTATCTTTTACAATGCTGTGAACACAACAAAAAAATTTAATTGTTTACTTTAAATAGGTGAACTTCATGATACGTGAATTTCAATAAGTTGTTTTAAAGTATCATCAAATTTTATAAGGAATGTGTAATATTCATGCAATTTAAAAAGTAAAGCAAAAATAACGATGCAGAATTTTGCAGATATGTTTATATACTGGTTCAGAGTATGGGTTAAGAGAATCAGAGAAATACAATTAATAAACAAGAATAATAGATGATAAATGTTTCAACCTATATGGAAAGATTCTATTTAACTTTGAATATGATCTAGTCTCAAATGCAGAATTATCCCACCACAGTAGAAGCCTAAAGATGGCTTCATATTTACAACATTCGCCTTTAGTGGCTCAAAGCTTCTATTCTTAAACTCTGTTTCTTTCAATTTTCATCAACAACTTTTAAGATACTTTTCCTCTAATTCTGTTCTACTGTAACCTGGCATATACCAAGTATTTAATAAATAGCTGTTTGAATGAATGAATGAATAAATGGATGGATGAATACACTAACTTATAAGACATATCTGTCTGCATCTTAATAAAGACCAAGGAATTAGTGGAAAATAGAAATGTTTTTGGTGTTCCTTTGAATCTAGTCTTCTAGATTCCTGAGTGAGTTCACGAAATCATACCTACGGCCTATTCCATTTGAGTTAAGACCTAACAGACATCTGCAAGCAAAATAAAAACACTTAAAACCAAAGAGAGAAACATAGAAACTGATCTAAAAATTGGGTACTGAACTACTTTGAGAAACTTAGTGACAAAACAATGTCAAAAAAAAAGGAAGTCAACCACATTGACTTTTAATCTCGTAAGTATGTAACTTGTAAAATATTTCATCGTCAAAACTTAAGGAAAATCAAAGTATTCTTACATAGAAGTTCTGGGGGGGGGGTATACTAGAGATTGAACCCAGGGGTGCTCTATCACTGAACTACAGCCCCAACTTCCACCTCTTTTTATTTTTGATTTTCAGACAGGGTCTCATGAAGTTCTCCAGGCTGGCCTCAAACTTGCCATCCTCCTGCCTCAGCTTCCCAAGTTACGGGGATTATAGGCATGCACAACCATGCCCAGTTATATAAAACTTCTTTAAAAAGTGGAAATTTTGTAGACATTAAACCTATACAGTAGAAGTAGTGTTTCAAAGAACTGTAATTTAAAATTGTCATGATTGTCAAAATCCATGTAGCAGTATCCCTGTAGTACACTCTTTTAAGGTCTTCAGGGAATAGTCCGAGAAGGGCAATAGCTGGGTCAAATGGTGGTTCCATTCCCAGCTTTCCCAGGAATCTCCATACTGCTTTCCAAATTGGCCGCACCAGTTTGCGGTCCCACCAGCAATGTACAAGAGTACCCTTTTCCCCACATCCTCGCCAGCACTTGTTGTTGTTTGACTTCATAATGGCTGCCAATCTTACTGGAGTGAGATGGTATCTTAGGGTGGTTTTTATTTGCATTTCTCTGACTGCTAGAGATGGTAAGCATTTTTTCATGTACTTGTTGATTGATTGTATGTCCTCCTCTGAGAAGTGTCTGTTCAGGTCTTTGGCCCATTTGTTGATTGGGTTATTTGTTTTCTTATTGTTTAATTTTTTGAGTTCTTTGTATACTCTGGATATTAGGGCTCTATCTGAAGTGTGAGGAGTAAAAATTTGTTCCCAGGATGTAGGCTCCCTATTTACCTCTCTTATTGTTTCTCTTGCTGAGAGAAAACTTTTCAGTTTATATGCAGAATAATAATTTGGGGAATGCTGAGTTTGGATAACTTGTATAAACAGAATCCCTGAAGTACTTGTAAAATTTCATATTTGTGGGCTTCATCTTAGAATCTTCTCTTTTTCTATTTTTTGGGGGGAGGGGGGCACAGAGTGCTTAACTATTGAGCCACTCTCCCAGCTCTTTTCTTAAAATATGTTATTTAGAAACAGGGTCTTTCTATTGCTTAGGGAAGAATCTTCAATTTTAACAAGCCCCTCAGGTGATTCTAATGCAAGTAAAATACAGACCACAATTTGAGAAATACTGATTCAGATAATTTACACAAAAAAATCTGAGGATCTACTACCAAAATTATTCCTGCAGATGTTCTTTCCATTCATCTCATCTTACCTACCCTTTTCAGAATAAATGAATCAAACAATAAATTGATATTGATCATCTATGATACTTTCTGTAGCACTACAACTTTTTCAATAATTTCATCTTACAAAATATGTGTCATACACAAGAAAAATAGTTACCCATGTGATTTTTTATTATAAAATCAAAAGGTGGGGACAAACACAAAAAACACTAGTAAATTCTATAAAATCTCTAATTGTTCACATTTATGCATATGCATATGCAGCAGGAAATTACCTGATAGAGTTATAAATGGCCAGTGGAGTTTGATCATTTTCTTTGGCTATTCTCATCATATCTAACACTGCCATCCCAAGACATTCTTCCTGTGTTTCATGAGTCACAGGCACTTTTATCCATCCATGCACAAAATCATGCCGCCACTAAAAGAAACAAAAATATCTAAGGAAATATCTCAGCATAAATTTTAATCTGCTATCATATTTTAACCAATAACATAATTTCCAGAAAATATGTATTTAAAAGGCATAAGTCAAAAAACAGCATTAGAAACAAACTATAGCCCATATATTAATATAATCCTATCTCTCAGAGCCATGTTAGAATTCTGTAGTAATCATGAAATAATTTGTCCAAAATGGTCCTATTTCAAAGATATTTGGACAATGAAAGCTTATTGTTGTCTTCATTAGAATATAAGTACTTATTTTAAGGCTATGCAAGAAAAATGCTCACCATAGGAAATGTCTCATTTTCCTAATTCTTTTTTTTTATACCAGGGATTGAACTCAGGGACACTATACATCCCCAGCCCTACTTTGTATTTTATTGAGAGATAGGGTCTCACTGAGTTGCTTAGCACTTTGCTTTTGCTAAAGCTGGCTTTGAACTCATGATTCTCCTGCCTTAGCCTCCTGAGCTGATGGGATTACAGGCATGTGCCAACGTGCCCAGCCTAATTCATTTCCATGAGAGTACTGAATTATCTTGTAGATCAGAAAGCACTAGAATTCTTCCTAGCTTTGTTGAAATGGATCCATACTAATAAATTGATGACCATACAGTTTTATTTAACAAAAGAAATGCAAACATGATTTTTTTCCTGTAATGATCATATATTGAAATCAATTTTCAGTGATAAAAAGGCATAGGTCAACTCCTTCCTTGATTTTAATTTTGCCATAAAATTTTAGTAAAAAAATAATTTGCAAATGAAGACCAATTTAAATTGGGTTTGCAGCTATAGAACACACATGCTGTCAAACTATTTCACTGCGTGTGTTTTCAAACTGTATCTCCTACATAAAAATTACCTAAATTAAAATAGTAACCAATTATGTCCTGAATTCCACTTAAGTTAAAAGCATTATAATAGAGATTGTATTTCATACAAAGAAACACATAATACAGGCTTAGCCATCAAAAGGACTAAAATGTAGTTTAGAAGCTAAACATGAAAACAAATAATTTTAATGCCAGATACTTAAGAAGTGCCACAAAATTGCTGATTGAGGATATATGAGAAAGGTGAAATTGTATCCACTTAGGGTAAAGAGGAAAGGTTTCATGGTTCATTTAAAATGTTATGTAAACTTAAATGATGAAGAAATTTTTGATGAGTAAAAAATCAGTAAGAAAATAGAAAGAATGACAAAAACAAAGCAAAAGACATGTACAGAGATTCAAACCAGTTTGGTTGGGGGCAGAATATAGGTAATCTTGAATGAATTGACTCTATAAACAATAAAGATCTGGTTTTTAAAGCATCAGTTTCACCATATCTCTTTCAGTGCTAGAGCAGTAGCAGTCACAAATGTGCTTAAAGAAAATTAAATGTGCTCAGAGAAGTTCTAAGAGGCTGCTGTATGGCTCAGATAGAAGATAATAAGTATATGTTATAGAAAACAGAAGACATTAAAATTATCTCACCACTAGATAGATCCTCCAAACAAAAACTAAATAAAGAGGCTATAGAACTAAAAAATATAATTAATAATTTAGACTTAACAGACATATATAGAATCTTTCATTCATCAACAAATGAATACACTTTCTTTTCAGCAGCACACAGATCCTTCTCTAAAACTGACCACAGCTTAGGCCACAAAGCAACTCTTAGCAAATACAAAAAAGTAAAGATAATACCATGAATTCTATCAGATCATAATGAAATGAAATTAGAAATAAACAATAGAATAAAAATACAAGCTACTCTAACAAATGGAGACTCAATAATATGCTATTGAATGACAAATGGATAGCAGAAGAAATCAGGGATGAAATTTAAAAAAATACTTAAGAGGTAAATGAGAATTGCAATACAATATATCAAAATCTCTGGGACACTATGAAAGCAGTGCTAAGAGGAAAGTTCATTACATTAAGCCCATTCATTAAAAGAATAGAAAGACACAAATAAATAACATAATATCACATCGCAAAGCTCTAGAAAAAGAACAACAAACCAACACCAAAAGCAGTAGGAAACAGGAAATAAATAAAATCAGAGCTGACATCAATGAAACTGAAACAAAAAAAAATCAACAAAACAAAAAGTTGGTTCTTTGAAAAAGTTAATAAAACTAACAAATCCTTTGCCAAGCTAACAAAGAGGAAGAGAGAGAAAACTCAAAAGCCTAAAATTTGTAATGAAAAAGGAAATATCACAATGGACACTACTGAAAGACAGATGATACTCAAATTATTTTGAAAATTTATACTCAAATAAAATAGAAATTCTTGAAGACATCAACAATTTTTTTGAGACATATGACCTACCTAAATAGAATCAGGAGGACACAGGAAATTTAAACAGATAGATCTCAAGAAATGAAATTGAAGATGCAATCAAAAGCCTAACAACAAAGAAAAGCCCAGGACCAGACAGATTCTCATCCAACTTCTACAAGACATTCAAAGAAGAACTAACACCAATTCTCCTCAAATTATTCCATGAAATAGAAAAAGAAGGAAACCCTCCAAACTCATTCTATTAAGCTAGTATCACTCAGATACCAAAACCAAAAAAAGGAAATTTCAGACCAATATCCTTGATGAACATAGATGCAAAAATTCTTAACAAAATACTTGCAAATCACATACAAAGCCATGTTTAAAAGATATGCATTCTACTGTCATATATAAATTTAAAAAAAAGATAGTGCACCATGATCAAGTGGGGTTCAACCCAGGGATGTAAGGTTGGTTAAACATATGAAAATCAATAAATGCATCACATCAATACACTTACAACAGGAATCATATGATCATCTCAATAGATGCAGAAAAAAGCATTTGACAAAATACAGCATCCACTCACCTTTAAAATACTAGAAAAACTAGGGGAAATATGAACACACCTCAACACTGTAAAGTCTATATATGCTAAATCCAAGGCCAACATCATTCTAAATGGAGAAAAACTGAAACCATTCCCTCTAAAACCTGGAACAAGACAGGGATGCCCTCTTTCACCACTTCTATTCAACATAGTTCTAGAAACTCTAGCCAGAGCAATTAGACAGAAAGAAATTAAAGGGATACAAATAGGAAAAGAATAACTCAAACTATCCCTATTTGCTGATGACATGATTCTATATTTAGATGACCCCAAAAACTTTCAGAAATCATAAATGAATTAAGCAAAGTTGCAGGATATAAAATTAATACCCATAAATCAATTGCATTCCTATATATCAGTGATAAATCAACTGAAAGAGAAATTAGGAAAATAATCCCATTCACAAAAACTTTAAAACAATAAAATATTTGGGAATCAATTTACAAAAAGAGGTGAAGGACCTCTTCAATGAAAACTACAGAACTCTAAAGAAAGAAATTTTAGAAGACTGAAAGATCACCCATGTTTTTGGATAGGCAGAATCGATATTGTCAAAATGGCCATACTACCAAAAATGCTATATAGATTTAATACAATTCCTATTAAGATTCTGATGATTTTCTTCATAGAAATAGAAAAGGCATAAAATTCATTTGGAAAAATAAGAGGCCCAGAAAGTAATTCTCAGCAAGAAAAGTAAAGCAAGAGGCATTACAATATCAAATCTTAAAACATACTACAGTGTTATCATAACAAACATGGCATGGTATTGGCACCAAACACACATGAAGATCAATGGTACAGAACAGAAGACACAGAGACAAACCCACATAAATACAATAATCTCAGACTAGACAAAGGCACCATAAACATACATTGGAGAAAAGATAGCTTCTTCAACAAATGGTGCTAGGAAAACTAGAAATCCATATGAAGAAAAATGAAATCCTATTACCCTACACAAAACTCAACTGAAGTGGATCCAGAACATAGGCATTATATCAGAGACCCTACACCTACTAGAACAAAAAGTAGTCCCAAACCTCCATCATGTTGGCTTAGGAACCTACTTCCTCAACCAGATTACTAAAGCATGATTAGTAAAATCAAGCATCAATAAATGGAATAGCAACCCCACTAAAAAGCTTCTTCACAGCAAAGGAAACAATCAAGACTATGAACAGAAAGCCTACAGAATGGGGGAAAATCTTTGCCACCTGCACCTCAGACAGAGTATTAATCTCTAGGATATGTGAAGAACTCAAAAAACTTAACACATACAAAAAATATGTATGTGTTAAATAGGCAAAGGAACTGAACACTTTACAGAAGAAGAAAAAAATGTTCAACATCTCTAGCAATTAGAGAAATGCAAATTAAAACTATGCTGAGATTCCATCTCACACTAGTCAGAATGGCAATTACTAAGAATACAAGTAATAATGACTGTTGGCAAAGATGTGGGGAAAAGGGTTCACTCATACATTAGTGGTGGGACAGCAAAATAGTGCAACCACTCTGAAAAGCAGTATGGAGATTCCTCAGAAAACTTGGAATGGAACCACCATTTAACCCAGTTATCCCACTCCTTGGCTTATAGCCAAAGAACTTAAAATTAGCAGACTACAGTGATACAGCTACATCAATGTTCATAGCAGCTCAATTCAACAGATGAATGGATAAAGAAAATGGAATACACAATGGAATATTAATCATAAAGAAGAACAAAATTATGGCATTTTCCAGTAAGTGGATGGAACTGGAGAATATCATGCTAAGTGAAATAAGCAAGTCTCAGAAAACCAAAGGTTAAATGTTCTCTCTGATATGTGGATACTAACCCATAATAAGTGAGGGTAAGGAGTGGAAGTTTAGAAATTCATTGGATTAGATAAAGGAGAATGAAAGGAAGGGAGAGGAGATGGGAATAGTAAAGACACTAGAATGAATCAGACATAATTTTCCTATGCTCATAAATACACGAACAGTATAATTTCACATCATGTTCAACCACAAGAATGAAATCAAAACTGTAATGGGTTGCATCCCATGTATGTATCATATGTCAAAATACACCCTACTGTCATGTTTATCTAAAAATAACAAACTAAAAAAATAAAATAAAACTTACAAAATGTAAAAATAAATAAATAAATAAAGGCTGGATGGAACCTTAAAAAAAATACAGGTACAAATAAATGTTGACAAGGATGTAGGGAAATGGGTACACTCATACATTCCTGTTGGGACTGCAAATTTGTGCAACCACTCTGGAAAGCAGTATGGAAATTCCTTAGAAAACTTGGAATGGAACCACCATTTGACCCAGCTAACCCACTCCTTGGCTTATACCCAAAGGACTTAAAATCAGCATACTAAAGTAACACAGCCCATCACTGTTTATAGTAGCTCAATTCACAACAGCTAAGCTAAAGAACTAAACTATATGTCCTTCAACAAATGAATGGATAAACAAAATGTGGTATATATAAACAATGGAATATTACTCAGCCATAAAAAAGAAAAAATATGGCATTTTCCATCAATGGATGGAACTGGAGACTGTTATGTTAAGTGAAATAAGCCAATCTCCAAAAAAGAAAGGCTAAATGTTCTTCTTGATATGCAGAAGCTCACTCAACTATAGGTGGAGATTGAGAGGGGAGAGGAATGGAGGGAGGTTCACTGGATTGGACGGGGGGGCGGGTGGGGGGAATGGGGGAAAGGGAGGGGAAATGGAAATGGGAAAGACATTAGAATGAATTGGACATAACTTTCCTATGTTCATATATTAATACACAACCAATATAACTCCACATCATGTACAACCACAAAAATGGGAAGTTATACTCCATGTATGTATGATATTTCAAAATATATTCCACTTTCATATAAAAGTAAAAAGAATAAAAAAATTTTAAAGTTTTATAGAAATTTTTTAAGAACTTAGAAGATAAATAATTTGATTAAAAATAATAAATACACATTTTAAAGTGGTATTTGACTTTCTATTAATAAAATATAAATGATATTTCACTAAACAAAAATAAACTACACTTTTTAAAAAGTACAAACCAAAAAAAAAATCATTATTAACTGAACCAAAGGTCTAAATGTTAGTAATACAAAACTTACTTATTTAAGGAATAAGTTAGATTTCTCTCCCCTCAATTTTAAACACTTATTTCCTCACACTTTTGAAAATGGGCAAGTTATATTGTTTAAATAGGATGATCAATAACTAGATAGATTATTTCTAATAGCATGTTTTTTGTTCTATATGGCATACAAAACTAGCAGATAATAAGTTCTGCTTATCAGAAATTCTATTGAACTCATGATCAAAAGACAGTAAATATGTAAAAAAAATCAGTGAGGGCAAATATTGTATACAATATTTGTATACAAATATTTCTTAAGTCCTGGATTTCAGTTCTGTTTGTAATTTTTTTTGAAGAGCTACTATGTTATTTTCCAAAGAGGTTGAACCATTTATCATTTCTATAAGCAGTGTACAAGTGTTCCAATTTCTCCACATCCTTAGCAATACTTAGTTTTTTTATAATAACTGTCCTGATATGTGTGCAATGGTATCTCACTGTAATTTGAATTTTCATTTCCCTAGTGGTTACTGCTGTTATGGATCTTTTCATATGTTTGTTGGCCATATGTATATTTTTTTGGAGAAATGTCTGTGTGCACATGAATGCATCCGGACCTTTCCCTAACAGCATAAACAAAAATTAACTCAAAATTGATTGAAGGCTTAAATGGAAGAGCTAAAATATAAAACTCTTAGAAGAAAACATGGAGGAAAGGCTCATGCACTGGATTTGGCAATGATTTCTTGGGTATGACACCAAAAGCATAAGCAACAAAACAAAAAATAAAAAATTGGAATACATCAAAACATAAAAAGTTTTGTCCATCAAAAACACAAGCAACAGAGTGAAAAGGCAACATATGTAATAGGAAAATATATGTAAAAACATACACCTGATAAGGGATTAATGTTCAGAATACAGAAAGAACTCCTACAATTCAACAAGAAAAACAAACAACATGAATGAAAAGTGGGCAAAGGACTTGAATAGACATTACTCCAAAAAAGGATACAAAAATGATGAACACACATATGAAAAGATACTTAAAACATCACTAGCCACGAGAGAAATGCAAATAAGAAGCTTAATGATAAACCATTTCATATCCATCAGGACAGCTATTATCAGAAAAACAAAGTATTGTCAAATATGTAGAAAAATTGCAACACTTGTACACTACATGTAGGAATGAAAAATGGTGCAGCCACATTGAAAAACAGTATAGTAGCTCTCCAAAAACTTGCAAACAGAATTACTATATGATCCAGGAATTCAAATTGTGGATATATGTCCAAAAAAATTGAAAGCAGAGACTCAAATATATAATGAATGAATACATAAAATATAGTATAAGACATACAATGGAATAATATTATTCAGCTTTAAAAAGGAAGGAAATTCTCACACTTGCTACATTGCTTTTTCTGAGCATTTTATCACTCAAGTCTTGCCCCAGCTCCAAAATTAGCTGGTTGCTGACCAAACATGGATGAACCTTTAAGACATTATGCTAAGTAAATAAGCCAGCCACAAAAAAAGACAAAAGATGTTATAATTCCATTTGTATGAGGTATTTAAGACAGGCAAATATGTACAGATAGAAAGTAGAATGGTGATTGACAAGGCCCAGGGAAGGAAGAAATGGAGAATTACTTTTTAATGGGTATGAAGCTTTAGTTTGGAAAGATGAAAAGTGTTCTAGAGATGGAGGGTTGGTGATTTTTGTAAAATAATGTGAATATACTTAATTAATGTGAATGAACTATATACTTAATAATGGTTAAAATGGTCAATTTTTATGTATTTTTACATAATAAAAACAAATTGGTTTACCCTGTCTCTAAATAAAAATACAAAAAGGGCTATGGCTGTGACTCAGTGGTCAAGTGTCCCTGAGTTCAATCCCTGGTAACCAAAAACAAAAACAAAATTGGTTGACTTCAAACCCCAATAAGGTAAATATTTTCTGATTTATTGCTCATAAACTTAACAAGCCTTACTGGGCTTTTTGGAAATGTGAGGCATGAGGATCTATAGGGTTATTTCCTATGACATTGGCAAATTTTATTTAGAACTCCTTAATTTAATAATACCTTATGAATATCTTTACCCAAGAGCACTGTCTTTTCTTTTCTTTCTTTAGTTTCTATTCATTTGACTCCAACAACACATGAAAACAAAAGTTATTTAATAATAAAATATTTCAATTAAGATGAAAGAGAAGAAAATATTATGAAACATTCAAACACAACACAAAATTTAGTATAACAGTATTAATGAACAAATGGCTAAAGCACAGCTCTTAGAATATCAATATCCAGTAACATTCCTATGAGGACTTAAAATATCAATATCCAGTAACCTTCCTATGAGGACCTATTCAAGCTATCATAGATCATTTTTTGTATTGCTTTCTTTACTTTTCAATACCCACCGTTTAAGTCCAAAATTAACCAGAAAAAGAAAACACTCAAGTGGGAAGGGGTATATATTCCCCAAAGATAAACTTAAAATAACCCTTTTAACTCTAAACTTTTTAAATTTGGATTCATCAGGACTTAGTGCTGCGGAAAGGCATATGTGTCCAAAAAACGTGCATAAGCCCAAGGTACTTTGGAAGGATATTCTAACAGGACAATGGAAAGGTCCTGACCCAGTAATTGTCTGGAGTCGGGGGTCTGTTTGTGTGTTTCCACAGGGAGAACAGCAGCCGATTTGGATTCCAGAAAGATTAACTAAAGCGATTTCTACAGACCAAAAAGAAGATGATTTGGCTCAAATCCATAACAACTGATATCCAAAACTCCAGTTTGGCTATTCTTACATCTGCAACAGAACCAGGATGCTTTTTTCAATATCTATTTTATTATTGCCCTTTGCCATATCATGAAGTTCTATTTTGTTTTTTGAGCTCATACAGACCTAGGTTAATGTTTTGCTGATCAGTTCTATTTTTTGACTATAGAGTTTTTAAACATTGCAATGGAGATTTCACCTGTAAAAAGTTATAAGGCCTTTACTATAATGTTATGTGTTGTATGTATTATATTATGTGTGCACACTTGTGTTTTGTGTTATATGTTTGAATGTATGTATGTCCATATATCATATATGATGAGCGCTCATGATAAAATGGATCCAAATATTTTTTTTTCACGTGATTTATATGGTTTAATTTAAATTGGGTAAACAACTGTTGAGGATTGTTTTAATATGTAAACAAAAGAAGGTTAACAGATCTGTTTGTTTACTTTCACCTTTCCTTTTCATTATATTTAATAATTCTCTTAAAGATAATGTAAATTGTTAAGAAAATTGTTTTCTTTTAGCCATTATTGTTTTCTTTAGCCATTATTGCCAGAATTCCTATCTTCATCCCAGTGCCGGTGAAGACAATGTAAATTGTTAAGAAAATTGTTTTCTTTTAGTGCCTTCTGTAATGTTACATAATTTTTTCTTTAGCCATTATTGCCAGAATTCCTATCTTCATCCCAGTGCTGGTGAAGTCAAAGATAAAACCAATCTACAGCTTCTACAATAGCCATCACTGAACTGCTTGCAGAACTTGCCTGGACACATTGTGAGCTCACCTGTATGCATTGTGAACTATCTGTTGGTGCAGCGACTTGTGGTAGTGTTGGGGTATTTTTGCTGATGATGTCATTGGTGGTACAATTTTTCCAAAAGGAGCCGTCAATTGGCTTGGTGTATCTTCCTCCCTTCTGCTTGTCATGATCGTCCAGCTAAAATTTGGGGGCCAACAGAGGTGAGGCAAAGAACCTCACCCCCCCCGCTGGTACAAAGACCTCTCCACAGGTGTGGCTGTATACTGGACCGGTAGTCAGTGACGGGTAAGATCCAATTGCAATGGTACCAACCTAAGGACCATATGTACTATTGGACAACCTAAGGCAGGCACGGTCCCTAAGCCACATACTTGTTGTTTAAACAGAGAGGGGGAGATGTTGAGAGCCACAGCCGAAGGGGCCCCAGCAAACTTCCAGCTGCCAGCAAACTTCCAGCTGCCGGCTGATGATTGGCTCACAGCGGCCCCAGCAACATCTAGCTGATTGGCTCCTCGGCCCCAGCAACATCTAGCTGATTGGCTCCTCTGCGGTGATGCTCATTGGGCTGTTTCCCTGCCCTTTCAGACCACGGAGCTGCTCATTGGGGGACTTTTTTGGCTCCGCCCACGTGACCCAGCCAATCGGCCTCAAGAGCAGGAGGATTGTGGGAGGGGGAGAGAAGCTTGTGGGGGAGAGAGAGGCTTGTGGAAAGCCGGTGGTGGCAGTTGAGGCTCTGAGGGTTTTTTCCTGAGAGGCTGTTTTGTTTGGCGTGTGTGGTTCTAAAAATAAAGTTAGTTTCTTTTGACAAGTGGCTCCTGATTGTGCCCAGCCAGACTGCGGCACTCAAGAAATTGTACTGTCTAGTATTTCAGCCACATAGGTCCATGTGACTCATAGTGTAAAACTCAGTGTACACTTTGTGAAATCCTTAAAATGATCTAAAGCCCTAAAATAAAAGAAAATTTAAAAAGATCAATTCAACAAATCCATTTAAAATAAATTCTAGTATTCATAAATCATGAGATTAAAACTTACTGTTAAAAAGACTATCTCTACACCCGCCGTGCAACACAGAACTCAGTTTTCCCAGATGAAGTTTCCCCTGATTAAGAGATATACTACATGAAAAGATATTTATCACTTACTGCACATACAAATAATATAATCATACCTGAGCAAAAAGATAAGACATGACAAAGTCATCAAGAAGAGGAGCTTCCGCACCTCGAGATATCCCGTGCCGATAAGTTCTGTTGCTGCCACTGCAATACCAGTGAGGAAAGTAAAATCTAAAAGACAGTTAAAACAGTCCATTAGCCTCTAAAGAGATCAAAATATAAACATTTTATATAAATAACCACTTTCAGCATAATTAAAGGTGTCTTTTCTTATCAGAAAACCTATGGATAAGACCTTGATAATAATGTAGATAGAAAATACAAGAAACACAAGGGTAAAATCAATATATTGCTTACTTTGATGCAATATAGAATGTAGAATATAGAAATAATCATAGGTAACAGAATTGTAGAAATAAAACGTTAAAAATGCTTAATTCATTAACATCAGTAAAGGAATCAAAATGTTAAATTGGGGTGAAAAAATAATTACTTCTTCTTTTAGAGAAATGGAAATTAAAACTATCCTTCAAATAATAAACAAGTACTCTCTATTGATTCGGTTGATAGTATTCAATTTAATGTTCTGTAAAATATCCACAGTGTTGTATCAACATCACTATAATGTAAGTATTTTGCTGAAGATTTTTATAACTATATAAAGTATACTGATCTGTATCTTTCTTTTCTTCTAGGTATCTTTGAATTAGTTACCATAGAATACAGCTGGAAGGTATTCACACATTTTCTACTTCTTGTGAATAACTGGTAATAATTCTTTAAATGTTTGATAGAATTAACCAGTTAAACCATTTGGGCCTGAACTTTTCTTCATGGGGAGTTTTCTTGAGTTATGAGTTCATTCTCTTTACTAGTTATAGATCTACTTCGACTTTCTATTACTTCTTTTGTTAGTTACTATGATTTGAATCTTTCTAGGCATTTGTGCATTTCGTCTTGGTTGCCGAATTTGTTAGCAGAAAATTGTTTCTGATAATCCTTTTTATTTCTATAGTCATAATGATGTTCCCTTTCCCATTCCCAATTTTAATAACTTTTCTTCTCTCATTTTCAGTCTAGTCAAAAGCAGGTCAAGTTTGTTGATCTTTTCAAAGAACTTTCTCTCTCTATTGTGTTTCTAAATTTCATGTATTTCTACTCTGACCTTTATTATTTCCTTCCTTCTACTTGCTTTAATTTATTGTTCTCTTTCTACATTTTCTTTTCTCTTGTTTCATTTTTTTTTAATACCAGGGATTGAACCCAAGAGCACTTAACCACTGAGTTATATGTCTAACCCACTCCTTTTTAAATATTTTATTTAGAGAAAGGGTCTCTTTAAGTCATGTGGAATCTAAGTTACTAATCCTCCTGCCTCTGCTTCTGGAGCCACTGGGATTACAGGCATGTGCCACCATGCCCAGCTTCTTAATGGGAAAGTTACAGATCTGGAATGTTTTCATTTTTAACATAGGTGCTTATAAATAAAAATCCCCCTTCTAAACACTGCTTTAGTTGCATAGGGCAAATCTGACAATTTGGGTTTTCATTTTCAGTCACATCAAAGTATTTTCTGTTTTTCCCTCCTTTGACTCTTTGGCTGTTTAGAAGTGTGTTGGTAATAACCATATGTTTGCAAATTTTCCAGTTTTCCTTCTGTTACTAATTTTTAATGTAATTCCACTGTGGTAAGAGAACATACATAGTATGATTTCATCTTTCTTGTTTTTATTGAGACTTGTTTTACAGTTTAACATATACTGGAGAATGGTCAATGTGTACTTTAAAATAAGGTATATCACGTGTTGTTGAATGGAATGTTCTACATAAGTCTGTGTATCTATCTGTTTTATAGTGTTGTTCAAGTCTTCTATTTCCTGGTTATATTCAATATAATTGTCCCCTCTGTTACTGAAAGTGGGATACTGAAGTCTCCAAATATTGTTCAATTGTCCATTTTTTCCTCATTCTATTTGTTTTTGATTCATATATTTTGGGTCACTACTGTTACAATTCATTTTTGTCTGTAATTGTTATGTCTTCCTAATGAATTGGCCCATATCTTTATAAAATGGTTCCTTTTATTTCTAGCAATAATTTTTGTCTGAAGGTCTATTTTGTCTGATATTATAGTATAATTATTATGTGTCTTTTGTTCACTGTATACCTAGTAAATCTTTTTTATTACTTGTTTCTCACTTTTTGTCATATAACAATAGGTATCTTTTAACTGTGATTGCAATATTGCAATCTTGCTGCCTCAGCCTTGCAAGCAGCTGCAATTACAAGTGTGCACTATCACACCAGGTTTGACTGTATTTTCTCTACCCATTCATCTGTTGATGGGCACCTACACTGATTCCATACCTTGGATTTTAAGCACAGTGCTACAATAAACATGGAACTGTAAGTTCTTTTATTTTCTTTTTTATAATTTATTCTTTCTAGTTAAATACAATACCAGGATACACTCTGACATTATCACAAAGGTATAGAACTCAACCCACTCCAATTCAACACCAGCACTTCCCCCCCACACCGGTGCCTGCTCCCCTTCGATCCATTTTGTTTTGTTTGTTTTGTTTTGTTTAATTAGTGTCCTGTAAGCACCCATAATGCCAGGACCCACTATGCCACATCCATGCATGCACATACAAAAGTTTAGTCAGATTCATTCACTGGTCTACTCTTTTCCCATTCCTTCTTCCTCCTCTATTCCACTAATTTTTCCTGTTTTGATGAAATTTCCTCATCCCCTTCTTTTTTCCTTTCCTTTTTTTATTTCCCCCTCTTATATTATGGATTAGCTTCCATATCAGAGAAAACATTCATCATTTGATTTTTTTTTTGAATTGACTTATTTCACTCTCGAGTTCACACTCTTATTTCAGTCGCCAATTCCATTCATTTACCAGAAAATACCTAATTTCATTCTCTTTTATGGTTGAGTACTACTTCACTTTGTATGTATACCATATTTTCTTCATCCATTCATCTGTTGATTCCATAGCTTGGCTATCATGAGTTGAGCTAATATAAACATGGATGTGGCTGCATCACTTTACTATGCTGATTTAAAATATTTTTAATATATTCCAAGGAAGGAATAGTTGGGTCATATGATGGTTCCATTCCTAGTTTTTTGAGGAATCTCCATAATGTCTTCCAGATTAATTTGCAGTCCCACCAACAACGTATGAGTGTACCTTTTCCCCTACATCATAACATTTTTGTTATTTGTTTCTTGATAATTGACATTCTGATTAGAATGAGATGAAATCTCAATGTAGTTTTGATTTGAATTTCCCTAATTGCTAGAGATGCTAAATAGTTTTTCATATATTTGTTGAACATTTGTATTTCTTCTTTTGAAAAGTGTCTGTTTAGTTTTTTGCCCATTTATTGATTGGGTTTTTTCTTTTTTTTAGCTTGAAATTTTTTGAGTTCTTTGGATATTAATATCTTATCTGAGAAAGAGGTGGCAAAGATCTCCGCCCATTCCAGAGGCTCTCTCTTTATACTCTTAATTATTTCCTTTGCTGTTAAGAAGCTTTTTAATTTGGTGCCACGCCATATATTGATTTTTTTTTATTTCTTGTGTTCTATGAGTCTTGTTAAGGAAGTTGGTTCCTGTGCTGACATGTTGGAGAGTTGGACCTCCATTTTCTTCTAGCAATTGCAGGATCTCTGGTCTAATTCCTAGGTCTTTCAGTCAGCTTTGGTACACAGTAAGAGATGGGTTAAATTTCATTCCATTACATATGGATTTCTAGTTTTTCCAGCACCATTTGTTAAAAAACCTGTCTTTTTTCCACTGTATGTTTTTGGCACCTTCATCTAATATCAGATAACTGTATTTATGTGATTTTTAATCTCTGTGCTTTCTATTCTATTCCACTGGGTTTTGTGCCTGTTCTATTATCATGCTGGTTCTGTTACAATAGATCTGTAGTATAATTTGAGGTCTGATATTGCTTCACTTTTCTCATTAAGGATTACTTTAGCTATTCTGGGTCTCTTATGTTTCCAAATGAATTTCCTTAATGCTTTTTCTAGTTCTGAGAAGAATGTCATTAGAATTTTGATGGGGATTGCATTGAATCTATATAGCACTTTTGGTAGTATGGCAATTTTGACAGTATTAATTCTGTCTATCCAAAAACACATGGTAGGGGCTGGGGATGTGGCTCAAGTGGTAGCACGCTCGCCTGGCGTGCGTGCGGCCCGGGTTCGATCCTCAGCACCACATACAAACAAAGATGTTGTGTCCGCCGAAAACTAAAAAAAAAAATAAAATAAATATTAAAAAAAAAAAAAAAAAACACATGGTAGGTCTTTCTATCTTCTAATGTGTCTTGAATTTCTTTATTTAGTGTTCTGTAGTTTTCATTTTAAAGTCTTTCACCTCTTGCTAGTTTGATTCCCAAGTATTTTATTTTATTTTTTGATGCTATTGTTAATAAGATAGTTTTCCTAATTTCCAATTCAGCAGATTCATCATTGGAGTATAGGAAAAGTAATGATTTATGGGTGTTGACTTTATATCCTGCTACTTTGCTGAATTTATTTATGAGCTCTAGAAGTCTTCTGGTGGAGTTGTTGTTTTTTGGTTTTTTTTTTTTTTTGATCTTCTAAATATAGAATTATGTCATCAGCAAAGAGATAAGCTCTTGAGCTCTTCTTTTCTTATTTGTATCCCTTTAATTTCCTTTTCAATTGCTCTGACTAGAGTTTTAAGGTAATGTTGAATAAGAATAGTGAAAGTGGGTGTCCTTCTCTTGTTTCTATTTGTAGAGGAAATGCTTTAGTTTTTCTCCATTCAGTATAAAGTTAGCCTTAGGTTTGTCATACACAGCCTTTAAGTTCCTTCTATCCCTAGTTTTTCAAGTGTTTTTAAATGTGAATGGATGCTGTGCTTTGTCATATGCTTTTTCTCCATCTATTAAGATAATTATGTGATTCTTGACCTTGACTCTATTTACATATTTACATACATTACATTTACTGATTTCCACGTTAAGCCAACCTTGCATTTGATCATGGTGCACTATCTTTTTAATGTATTTTTATATAAGGTTTGCCTATATGTTATTACAAATTTTTGCATTTATGTTCATCAAGAATATTGGCCTGAAGTTTTCCTTCCTTGATATGTCTCTGCTTTTGGTATC